CGGGGGCGCGCGGGGCGCTGGGGGCGAGGAGGGCGAATGGGGGAGCTCCAAGATGGCGGCAGCGGCGTGAGGGGACGGAGGGGGGGAGCGGGAGCGATGGCGGTGGCCCCAGGACTGACCCACCGCCGTGTCCCCGCAGCTCGCCAAGGACCTGTTGCACCCGTCTCCCGAGGAGGAGAAGCGCAAGCACAAGAAGAAGCGGCTGGTGCAGAGCCCCAACTCCTACTTCATGGACGTCAAGTGCCCCGGTGGGCACCGAGGGCCTTCCAGGGTCCCTCCCCGTGTCCCTCCCCGTGTCCCTCCGTGTGTTGTGCCCGCTCTCTCGTTGCCCTTCCTGTGTTCCTTTCCTCGTGTTGGTTTCCCCATCTCCCGCCGCCTCTTCGTGTCTTTCCCCGTTTCCCACCGGGCTCTCCCTCCGTGTTTGTGCCGGGCTCTCCCTCCGTGTCCCCCTCCACGTGTCGCGGTGTCCCTGCGTGTCCCCCCGGTCCCCTCGGCGTGCCCGTGTCCCCGCGGTGACCCCGCTGTCCCCACGCTGTCCCCGCAGGCTGTTACAAGATCACCACCGTGTTCAGCCATGCCCAGACCGTGGTGCTCTGCGTGGGCTGCTCCACGGTGCTGTGCCAGCCCACGGGGGGCAAGGCCCGGCTCACCGAGGGTGGGTATCCCGCTGGAGCTTTGGGAATCCCGCCGTGGGGGATGGAGGGATCCGGGGCTGCCCCACGGGGAGGTTGTGGAGGGATTGGAACTCTGGGAGGGGCTGGATCCTGCTGGGGATGGGGGGATTTGGGACCCCTGGGGGGGGCTGATTTCCCCCCTCGGTAGAGTTTTGGAATTCTGGCGGGGTTGGAATGCCGGGGAGAGGTTTGGAATTCTGGCTGTTCCGGGAGCTTTCATCTGCAGAACCCCCCAAAATGCGGGCTGGGAGACGTGGGATTCCCATTCCCAGAGGGATTCGGGGGCCGTGCAGCGTTGCCAGGGTGTGTTTGCTCCCCCCAGGCTGCTCGTTCCGGCGGAAGCAGCACTGAGCCAGCCGGGATGCCACGGAGACAGACGGGAATTCCGCCCGCTCCCCGCAGCCCCCTCCGCTTCCCACCAATAAATTTTGGATAAAACACCCAAAACTGGCCAGTTCTGGTTCTTTGCCGGGCGTTTGGGGGTGTGGGGAAGGAATTTCATCCCGGGAGGGGCTGGAGTGGGAGGTGTCCCTGCCGTCCCTTCCCAAACCTTTCCATGATTCCCAAAAAATCCAAGTGGTGCCACCGCCACGCTGGGGTGGGACAAATCTCCTTGCTGTCCTTGTGGGGCTGCTCCAGCTGGGAATTCCACGTGGATGAACCTTTTCTGTCTGTGGTTTAACTGGAAGAACTGGGAATATCCGTGTGTCCTCCTCCCCACAGCGCCCTGATCCTCTTCCCATCCCTCTTTTCCCATCTGAAGGGGAATAACCGGGATGTTTTCCCCAGATCTGGGCTGAGCTGGGGGGGCTCAGCTCTCCCCATTCCCCCCTGGAGCTCCCAAAATCCCCCCTGAGCCGTGACCCCCCCTCTCACCCCGGCTTTTTGGGGTGCTGGAAGGACGAGCCCCCCTCCCCACGCCCCGCCGCCCCCTCAGATCCGAACTGAAATCGAAATCGGGACTTTCGGTTCCTCATTCCCTCATTTCCTGGCTCGTGATTTCTCCCCGCGCCCCAAATCCCGGCGTGGCGGCACCGGGAACGCCCCGGACCCCAGCCCGGACCCCTCCCCAGCCCGGACCCCTCCCCAGCCCCCTCCCCAGCGCCGCGGGTCGGGGCCACCCCGGAGCATTTCGGAGGTAATTTGGGCGGCTTTGATGCGTCAATCCCCGCCCCAGCAGCGCTTGGAGGAAGTCAAACTCCGGGACGAGTGGATTTATGAGGGTTTGGGGTCTGTCTTATCCCGGATCTCCACCTGGATTGTGGGATCGTCGGTGCATCCCATCCCGGCGGGCAGCGGTTGGGTAAAACCAGGGAATTTGGGGATTTTTTTGGGGATGGATTTGTCCCGGCAGCTCCCAGGCTGGCTCAGATGCGTCCTGGCCTGTCCTCACGGACACGGGGCTGGCTCCCGGATTCTCCCCTGCAGGGAATTTTGGGATGCGTGTCCGGGCGGGCCGGTGGCACCACCAGGTCACCGGGGTGTTGTCACCTCCCTGCCCAGACCGGATTTGTCACCGAGGGGTCAATCCAGCTCAGAATCCCGGGATGGAGCCGCTGGCTCCCGCCGCCCTCCTGGCCCTGCTGGTGCTGGCACTGGGACACCCCGACCCCGCGCTGGACCGCCACTGGGAGCTCTGGAAAAAATCCTACGGCAAGGAATATCATCCCCAGGTGGGAATGTGACGGGGGGAGGGAGCTGGGGGTGTCCCTGGAGTGTCCTGGGAATATCCCAGGATTTTCTAGGGCTTTCCTGGGGGGTGACCACCCGTGGGAGAAGATCTGATGGCGCTTCTGAGCCAGGGATGAGCCAGCTGGGGCCTTTACTGGGATGAACTGGGCTGGGATGGCTCTGGAGGGGCCGTCCCGGCTCTCACGGGGCCCTGCTGGAATTCCAGGAGGATTTTCTCCGCCGCCTGACGTGGGAGAAGAACCTGTGGCTGGTGACCCTGCACAACCTGGAGCACTCGCTGGGGCTCCGCTCCTACACGCTGGGGATGAACCACCTGGGGGACATGGTGGGTGCTGGGAGCGCTTCCAACCCTCTGGAATTGCCCTGGAGGGTGACTGAACTGGGATTTCCGTGGCTGGGAAAACTCCCGACATCCCCCTCAGCCCATCCTGGTGGGATCCAGCAGCCAGGGACAGGCTGCTCTGGAATTCCATGAGGAAAGAACTCCTCGGGGTGGGATTTGGGGCACAATGGGGGAGCCGTCCTGGTCGTTTGGGATATTTATGGATCATCCCTCCTCTGCATCCCAAATTTGGGGGGAGTTTATGACCCGGTTTCCAGGGATTTGGGCAGCTAGAGCTGAGCTTTTCCTTTTCTGATGAAAACCTGGAAATTAAATGGAAAACCAAGGAGTTGAAGATCCCCCACAGCCACTTCCACCTCAGAATTCCCACTTAGACACCCTCAGCTGGGGCTGACAGAGAGCAGGAATCACCCGCTGGGATTTTCCTCCCCGCCAGACCAGCGAGGAGGTGGCGGCTTCGCTGACGCGGCTCCAGATGCGTCCTCGTCCCCTTCGGAATTCTGCATTCCCGGCGCGATTCCGGCCGCTCGGTGACATCCCCGAGGCGCTGGACTGGCGGGACAAGGGCTGCGTGACCGAGGTGAAGAACCAGGTGAGCCTCGCCCCCGCCGGCCTCCCGCTGCTCCCCGGGGCAGCTCCTGAGCCTCTCCCGCCTTCTTCCCAGGGCGCCTGCGGATCCTGCTGGGCCTTCAGCGCCGTGGGGGCGCTGGAAGCGCAGGTGAAGCTGAAAACCGGGAATTTGGTGTCCCTGAGCGCCCAGAACCTGGTGGATTGCTCCGGGATGTACGGGAACAAGGGCTGCGCCGGGGGGTTCATGACGGAGGCGTTCCAGTACATCATCGACAACGGCGGCATCGAGTCCGAGGAGTCCTATCCCTACACGGCTCAGGTGGGCCTGGGAAAAGCTCTTTTCCAGGAAAACGCACGGAAACCTCACCCTGTTCCTGTTTTCCTCCCTCCTCTCCCATCCGATTCCCCCTTGCCCCCGTTTCCTGGTGGCACCTCAGGATCCAAACCCATCCCGGGAACCTTGGGATTTTTTGGAGGGGAGTGACTGGACCAGGAGCTGGAATTCCTACCTGGTTATTTCAACATTTCTTGAGCAACGAGCTGGAGGGGAGGGAAAAATGGGTCAGGAGCCTCCTGAAAACACGGTCCCAGGAAATGGGTCAGAGCAACAACAGCTCAATCCAAGAAAAAGTGGGATTTAAGTCTCCAAACATGGAGCTACAGAGGGAAAAGCTGTTCCTGTGGTCTGGAGGGAATGAGAAGCATCTGTGGATAGGGAGGATGAGGATGGAGGCTTGTGCTGGATTCAGTTGGGATTGGGAATGGAAACCAACCCCCGGATAAGGTTGGAGTGATGTTTTTGAGGAAAAGGGGTGGAGATTCCATTGGGAAACAAACCAAGGACGGGGAAGGCAGGGCTGGAGGGGCTCGGACAGGGGTCTGGGGGTCTGGGAACACTCCGGATCCCATTGGCTCATTCCCATTTCCTGGCTGGTTCCCGTTTCTTGGCTCATTCCCATTCCTTGGCTCATTCCTGTTTCCTGCTCATTCCCATTTCCCCACTTGTTCCCGTTTCCCATCTCATTCCCATTCCTTGGCTCATTCCCATTCCTTGGCTCATTCCCATCCCTTGGCTAGTTCCCATTTCCCGCCTCATTCCCGTTTCCTGTCTCATTCCCATCCCTTGGCTCATTCCCATTTCCCATCTCATTCCCATTCCTTGGCTCGTTCCCATTTCCCATCTCATTCCCATTTCCCGTCTCATTCCCGTTTCCCGCCTCATTCCCGTTTCCCATCTCATTCCCATTCCTTGGCTCAGTCCCATTCCTTGGCTCATTCCCATTTCCCATCTCATTCCCATTCCTTGGCTCAGTCCCATTCCTTGGCTCATTCCCGTTTCCCATCTCATTCCCATTCCTTGGCTCATTCCCATTCCTTGGCTCGTTCCCATTTCCCGTCTCATTCCCGTTTCCCGCCTCATTCCCGTTTCCCATCTCATTCCCATTCCTTGGCTCGTTCCCATTTCCCATCTCATTCCTATTTCCCGTCTCATTCCCATTTCTTGGCTCATTCCCATTTCCCATCTCATTCCCATTCCTTGGCTCATTCCCATTCCTTGGCTCATTCCTGTTTCCTGCTCATTCCCATTTCCCCACTTGTTCCCGTTTCCCATCTCATTCCCATTCCTTGGCTCATTCCCATTCCTTGGCTCATTCCCATCCCTTGGCTAGTTCCCATTTCCCGCCTCATTCCCGTTTCCTGTCTCATTCCCATTCCTTGGCTCATTCCCGTTTCCCGGCTCGTTCCCGTTTCCCGGCAGAACGGGACGTGCCACTACAACGCCTCCGCCCGCGCCGCCTCCTGCTCCCGGTTCCTGGAGCTGCCCGAGGGCGACGAGGCCGCGCTCAGGGACGCCGTGGCCACCGTGGGCCCCGTGGCCGTGGCCATCGACGCCACCCGGCCCAGCTTCTTCCTGTACCGCTCCGGTGAGGGCGCGGGATTGGGCGGAATTCGGGAATTCGGGGGTTAATTCCTGGAGGGAGCCTGGGGCGGGATGGCCTTGAGGCCTTTAGGGCTCTTCCAAATCCGCCTCCTTCCTTTGTTTCACCCCAGAATCCTTCCTTGGTGAGAGGGATCCTTGGGAATTGGGGTGGGATTTGGGAGGCTGGCGGTGAGTTCCTGGAGGGAGGCTGGGATCGGTTGGAATTCCGGGTTTTCTCCCTCCCCAGGGGTCTTCGACGACCCCCAGTGCTCGCAAGAGGTGAACCACGGCGTGCTGGTGGTGGGATACGGCTCCCTGGAAAACAAGGAATATTGGCTGGTGAAGAACAGGTAAAACCCTGGGCATCCACAGGGAATTCTGGAACATTCCCGGCTGGAGGGGACCCACAAGGATCAGAGTCCGACTCCCAGCCCTGGACACCCCCAAACTCCCACCTTGTCCCTCGGGCCTTGTCCAGGTCCTTCGTGGCCCGTGGGAAGGTTGGAAAATGATCCATAAGATCCATTCCAACCCAACCCGCTCCATAATCCCACGATTTTGTGTTTGGAGCTGCCCAAATCCGTGTGGATGCGACACTCGGGGACACATTCCCGTGGTGGCTTCCTCAGCCTCGGGGACAGTTGGACTTTGTGGTTTCTGAGGACTTTTCCAACCCGAATGTCTCCGTGAATCCCAGGATTCCGGCACCTTCTCCTTTAGAAACGAGCGCCGCCGACCGGCGGCCGTGTACAAATTCCCGACGGGAACGGGACCGCCGGGAACGTGCCTTTTGCATCTTTCCCAAAACCCCCTGGTTTTAAAAATCCCCACAACGAGGGGTTTTCCCTGTGTCCTCTCCCTGTTCCCAAAGCTGGGGCGTGCACTTCGGGGACGCGGGGTACATCCGCATGGCCCGCAACGCCTCCAACCTCTGCGGCATCGCCAGCTACGCCTCCTACCCGCTGATCTAGGCAGACCTGCGCTCCCAACGCCGCCCCAGAGCTCCAGATTTCCGTGGATCCCATCCCAGCAGGGATTCCTCCGCTTCCAGGGGCGCTGGGCGCCGTCCGATGGTTGGATCCGAGGGTTGGGAGGGGATCCTGGGAATGGCGTTGGTGGGCATCCGGGGAATGCTTTTTTTGGTAAGGGGAGATTGGGGGTTTGGGAGTAAAGTGGTGATTCCTGCAGGGATCAGGTACGGGGATAACAGGGATCGGGTACAGGGGTCACTGGGATCATTGGGATTGGGTATCAGGATCACAGGGATTATTGGGGTCACAGGGATCACTGGGATTGGGTACCAGGATCACTGGGATCACTGGGATCATGTGGATCATTGGGATCACTGGGATTGGGTACCAGGATCACAGGGATTGAGTACCAGGACCACAGGGATCATTGGGATCAAGTATCAGGATCACTGGGATCACTGGGATCAAGTATCAGGATCACAGGGATCATTGGGATCACTGGGATCACTGGGATTGGGTATCAGGATCACTGGGATCATTGGGGTCACAGGGATCACTGGGATTGGGTACCAGGATCACTGGGATCACTGGGATCAAGTATCAGGATCACAGGGATCATTGGGATCACTGGGATCACTGGGATTGGGTATCAGGATCACTGGGATCATTGGGGTCACAGGGATCACTGGGATTGGGTACCAGGATCACTGGGATCACTGGGATCAAGTATCAGGATCACAGGGATCATTGGGATCACTGGGATCACTGGGATTGGGTACCAGGATCACTGGGATCGTTGGGATTGAGTACCAGGACCACAGGGATCATTGGGATCAAGTATCAGGATCACTGGGATCATTTGGATCATTGGGATCACTGGGATTGGGTACCAGGATCACAGGGATCATTGGGATCGTGTTTCAGGATCACTGGGATCACTGGGATTATTGGAATCAGGTACAGGGATCACAGGGATCATTGGGATCGTGTTTCAGGATCACTGGGATCCTTGGGATCATTGGGGTCATTAGGATCAGGTACAAGGATCACTGGGATCACTGGGATTATTGGAATCAGGTACAGGGATCACAGGGATCATTGGGATCCTTGGGGTCAGGTACTGGGATCACAGGGATCATTGGGATTGGGTGCCAGGATCACTGGGATCATTTGGATCAGGTATCAGGATCACAGGGATCGTGGATTCCTCCCTCCAGATCTGCTGGAATTGCAGATATTCCATGGAAAATAAAAGATTGCATTTTGCTGCCTCAAAACCCCGATATCTGGATGCAAAGATTTGGAGATAATCCCCCCCCCCCAAAAAAAATCCAATATTTTTGGTGGCTCCCTCACCCCACAGCCAAGAATTCCGCGTTGGTGGATGGAGATCCCGAGGGAACAGTGTCCCTTTGTCCCTAAACAACGTCCCCGGGGCTGGAATTCCTCACCCCCGGATCCCACCCCTCCCTTGCCGGTGGGATCCGAGCTGCCGGGAGGATCGGAGCGCCGGGAATCTCACCGGGACGGGGGGTAAGGATGATCCCAGCGGGATCTGCTGCCACTCCCGTGGGATTTCCAGCTGGGAAAAGGTCGAGGGTGGCTCAATCCCGGCAGCTGGATCGGGATTCAGGGCAGGTTTTGTTGGGAAAAGGAGCTGCCCCTGTTGTATCCCAAATGCTGGCGCCACCGGGAATGTTGCTCCTGGATTTCGGGAGCTGTGACATCGGGCGGGGTGAGACCCCCGTGGTGAGGAGGAGCCAGTTCCAGGATCCCCTCGGAAATCATGGAATGATTCAGGTTGGAAAAGACCTCGGGGAAAGATTCCACCTGGAATATTTCTGGCGTTTTGGGGGTCTCGGCGCCTCGGAAGGAATTTTTGTCCCGCCATGGAATCACGGCTTGGCTTGGCAAGGACCCAACGATCCCATTCCCGCCTCCATCCAGGAATTTAAGCCCCAACTTCCCAAATTCCACCCTAATCCCAAAGGTTTCTGCCCACAAGCACCGCGGGGAGATCTCCGGGGCGGACCAGGAAACGCGGGGCCAAAATTTAACCCCCCAAAAAAACCTGGCAAAACTCTCATTCCCTGCCTTGGGGGAAAATAAAGAAACAAATAAGTGCCCGGAAAAGAGAATTCCCGACAGAAATCCCTGGGAAAGCTCGGGGAGCGGGCAGGGCTCGGGTCCCGGGAGGTGGCACCTCCTGGCACCTCCCGAATCCCGCACAAAGGTCCCCGTTCCGCCCGTTTGTTTAAACAAACACACTCCCGGCGGGACAAATCCCCGGGAATACCCAGAGGGAGACGGAACCGGAGGCCGTTTGGCTCCGGAGAGGCGGAATTTGGGAATTTTCTGGGCTTTCTGCCGGCGGGACCCCCCGGCCGAGGCGGCTTGGGCGCTCCCGGAGCTTTTCCAAGCTGCCGGATATTCCCGGTAGGTGGGAATCGCTTCCCTGCCCCCGGGGGTGCTGAGGGCCCGCAGGTGCCTCCTCCGGAGCGGGATGGAGCCGATCCAGCCGGGATTGACCCGTTCCGTGCCGGTTTTTTCCCAGGAGATGAAATCCCGCCCGGTGCTGGCGGTGCCCGAGGTGTGTGACCCGTCTGGAACAGGGACAAGGTGGGGATGTGGGGGCAGCCCCGCGAATTCGGGGTTCAGCCCTCGTGGATGTGGGGTTCTGCCGGCAGCGAGCTGGAAAATTGGGAATATTCCGTGCGGGGGGGAGAAGGAATTCTTGCCTTTGGGGCAGGGAAACTGAGGCACGGAGTCAGCCTCGCCCTGCCCTGCGGTGTTTTGGGGGTGCCCAGCTGAATGATCCAGAAATCCCGTGGGAAGGCGAGGCAGGAAGGGGCGGTTTGACCCCCGAGGGGGACGCGGGGGCTGTTCCCGATCCCTGAAAAACGCCGGGAAAGGGTTTCAGGTAATCTGCTTGGGGGGGGGGGGGGGGGGGGGGAAGAGGGAGCGGTTCCGGATTTGGGGAATGGGAGCGGCACCCCCGGCTCTGCGGGAAAAGGGTTAACAGGGAGAAGGATCTGCTTGGCCGAGTGGTTCCTGGTTTGTTTGGAGTGCGGGAGAGGAGGGGGAGGGGGCGCGGGGCTGCGACCCCGGCGCTCGGGAATTGGGAATTTCCGCCTGGCACGGAGCTCACCCCCCCCCCACGGCCACCCGCAGGTAGGTGGGATGGTCCCGAACCCCTCCGGGAATCCCGGGATGGTCCCGAACCCCCCGGGAATGCCGGAATTCCAGCGGAGCCGCTGGGAAGGGCGGGATGGGTCCCCACCGTTCCCTCCCCCGGGACCGGGGACACCCCAGGGATGAGTCTGGGGGCAGCTCCCGAAATTCCCGGCCCGCCGTTATCCCGCTGTCCCCCCATCCCATCCGGGATCCAACCCGGCCGCTCTCCACCAACTTTTCGGGGCTGTCCCCAGGACCGGGATTTGGGGGGAATTGTCCCCAGGATCGGGATTTGGGGGGAATTGTCCCCAGGATCGGGATTTGGGGGGAATTGTCCCCAGGACCGGGATTTGGGGGGAATTGTCCCCAGGACCGGGATTTGGGGGAGCTGCTGCAGGATTTCCCTTTCCCTTTTCCTTCTCCGGAGCTTGGATTTGCATCCTGAGATTCCCAGCAGGCTCTGGGAAGCTCCCGGTTGCTTTTCTGCACCTGGATGAGCCCGCGAACCCCAAAATCTGGGGGGGCCTGGTGGGTTTTTGGGAAGAGCCGTGCCTGTGGTTTTCCCCTGGAGCAATGGCCACGCTCCTCTCCTCATTTTTTTTGATGATTCCATGTTTATTATTCCACGTTTGTGGCCGATCCCCGGCAGATCCACAAAGGAAAGAAGAATTTTTTTTTAATTTTTTTTTTTTTTTTAAATTAAAGCAGCTGACCGGGCTGGGAATGTAAAAACAGGAAAACGGCTGAGCTCATCCCAGCTCATCCCAGCTCATCCCAGTCCTGTCCCTGTCCCCTGCGGGGTGAGTCTGCCCAGGGCTGGGGCAGGAGGTGCCAGCCTGGGAATGGTGCTGGGATTTGGGGATTGTGACACCGGGCTGGGGCAGGGGACAGGGGGCATCCCGGGATCCAGGAGGGATCCAGGAGGGATCCAGGAGGGATCCCGAGGCCCCCAGGGGATCCCAGCAGGAGCAGCCAGCTCGGGATGCTCAGGGGGTGTCGGGGTTCAGGGAGGGATGTTGGGGTTGTCAGAGGATGTTGGGATTTTGGGAGGGGTGTTGGGATTCCCAAGGATTTTCCAGAATCATGTGGCCTTTTAGGGAGCCATGGCCAGGTTGAAATCCCCCAGATCCCACCCCAAAACCCGCTCAGACCCCACCCCAAAACCCGCTCAGATCCCATCTCAGATCCCATCTCAGATCCCACCCCAAACCTCGCTGTGTTCCCATCCCACAGCCTCTCCCAGCCCCATCCCAAATCCACTCCAGGCCCCATCCTGGATCTCCCTGTCCCCCTAAAACCCCCTGGGCCCCTCTCCCCGCTCCGGGGGGTTCATCCCTCCCCTCAGGAGGTGGGAATTTGGAGGCTCGGATGAGCTGCACTCTTGTGGGGTCCCCTGGGGTGGGGGGTCCCATTCCCAATCCCAATCCCATTCCTGTTCCCTCTCCCATTCCTAATCCATTTCCCATTCCCTTTCCCATTCTCCTTTCTCATTCTCAATCCTAATCTCTTTCCCTTTCCCATTCCCTCTCCCTATCCCAATCCCTCTCCCATTTGCCATTCCCACTCCCATTCCCATTCCTTTCCCCATTCCCATTCCCCATTTCCATTCCCCTTTCCCATTCTCAATCCCAATCCCTTTCCCAATCCCTTTCCCAATACCATTCCCATTCCTGTCCCCATTCCCATTCCCCTTTCCCATTCCCCTTTCCCATTCCCTTTCCTGTTCCCATTCCTGTTCCCTCTCCCATTTCCCTTTCCCCCTCCCACCCCCATTCCCAATCCCATTCCCAATCCCAATCCCAATCCCATTCCCAATCCCATTCCCAATCCCAATCCCAATCCCAATCCCATTCCCATTCCCAATCCCATTCCCAATCCCAATCCCAATCCCATTCCCATTCCCAATCCCAATCCCAATCCCAATCCCAATCCCAATCCCAGTCCCGTTCCCGTCCCCGTTCCCGTTCCCATTCCCGTTCCCGTTCCCGTTCCCGTTCCCAGCCGCTCTCCTCCCGCCCGAATTCCTGCCGGTTTAATCAGTAACCCGGAGAGCTCACGCTCCCACCGGGGCGGTTTCGGAGCCTCGCGGCCCCCCCGGGGGCGTTGGGGACCCTCCAGCGCCGCGGGGACACGGCCGGGCACGGCCTGGGGGGGGCAGGGCTCAGCTGAGACCCCCCCCAAAATCACCTCAGGGTCGGGCCGGACCCCCCCCCGACCCCTCCACGCCCCCTTCCCGCAGCGTCCGGCCCTGAGCGGCACCGGGAGCCCCCCAAGATCCTGGAGCACCCCCAGATCCTGGATCCCCCCCGGATCCTGGAGCACCCCCAAGTCCTGGAGCACCCCCAGATCCTGGAGCCCCCCCGAGTGACCCCAGAGCCCTGCGGGGGGGTCCCCGCCGAGCTCCCGCCCCCGAGGCGCCGCTGCGTGTCCGTCCTGGAGCCCGGCACGGCCTGGGATGAGGAGGAGGAGGAGGAGGAGGAAGGGCGCACCCGCGGGGTGACCCTGCGGAGATCCGGGAGCTCCCTGGATCCTTTCCGCCGGCACAGCTGGGAGCCGGGCAAGGAGCCGCGGGGCATCCCGGGCTACGGGCACCTCAGGTAGGGGGGACCCCCGTCAGCCCCCCCAAATCCAGCGGGCTCGGGGATCCTCTGCACCCCCGAGACCCCAGACCCAAACTGGGATCCATCCCTGCCTCGGTGGGGTCACCCCGAATCCCCTGCTCATCCTCGGGGACCCGCTTTGGGGGGTGTCACCCCCTCCTCGGGGACCCGCTTTGGGGGTGTCCCATCCTCGGGGACCCGCTTTGGGGGTGTCCCATCCTCGGGAAGCTGTTTTGGGGGTGTCCCCTCCTTGGGGACCTGCTTTGGGGGTGTCACCCCCTCCTCGGGGAGCTGTTTTGGGGGTGTCCCCTCCTCGGGGAGTTGCTTTGGGAGTGTCCCCCCTCCTCTTGGGACCCACTTTGGGGGTGTCCCATCCTCGGGGAGCTGTTTTGGGGGTGTCCCCTCCTCGGGGAGTTGCTTTGGGAGTGTCCCCCCTCCTCTTGGGACCCACTTTGGGGGTGTCCCATTCTCGGGGATCCGCTTTAGGGGTCTCCCCTCCCCTCAGGGACCCACTTTGGGGATGTCCCCTCCCCTCAGGGACCCACTTTGGGGGTGTCCCCTCCCCTCGGGACCTTTGGGGGTGTCTGTCCCCCAGCTGACAGTCCCGTGTCCCCCCCAGCGGGAGCCCCGAGCTCGGCTCCAGCGCGGAGCAGCTGGGGGGGCTCTGCCGGCCCCGCCGGGACCCCCGGAGAGCCCCCCTGGTGCACAGCAGCGACGAGCTGGACTCGCTGCTCTCGCAGGACGACGAGGATGAGGAGGACGAGGCCGATGTCAGGCGGGCACAGGTGGGACCCTCCTGTCACCCCGGGGTCACCCAGAGCCCACCTGAGCCGGGGGAGGGGACAGGGACCCCAGGGAGGGGACAGGGAACCCAGGGAGGGGACAGGGGACCCCGGGGAGGGGACAGGGACCCCGGGGAGGGGAGAGGGGACCCCAGGGATGGGGCAGGGACCCCAGGGAGGGGAGAGGGGACCCCGGGGAGGGGACAGGGAACCCCGGGGAGGGGACAGGGGACACCAGGAAGGGGACAGGGAACACCGGGGAGGGGACAGGGAGTCCGGGGAGGGGACAGGGGACACCAGGGAGGGGACAGGGACCCCGGGGAGGGGAGAGGGGACCCCGGGGAGGGGACAGGGGACCCCGGGGAAGGGACAGGGACCCCGGGGAGGGGAGAGGGGACCCCGGGGAAGGGACAGGGGACACCAGGGAGGGGAGAGGGGACCCCGGGGAGGGGACAGGGACCCCGGGGAGGGGAGAACTGAGGGAAAGTTGCATTGAGGCCGATGTCAGGCGGGCACAGGTGGGACCCTCCTGTCACCCCGGGGTCACCCAGAGCCCACCTGAGCCGGGGGAGGGGACAGGGACCCCAGGGAGGGGACAGGGAACCCAGGGATGGGACAGGGACCCCAGGGATGGGACAGGGGACCCCGGGGAGGGGACAGGGGACCCCAGGGAGGGGAGAGGGGACCCCGGGGAGGGGACAGGGGACACCAGGGAAGGGACAGGGGACCCCGGGGAGGGGACAGGAGACCCCAGGGAGGGGACAGGGGACACCAGGAAGGGGACAGGGAACACCGGGGAGGGGACAGGGAGTCCGGGGAGGGGACAGGGGACACCAGGGATGGGACAGGGACCCCAGGGAGGGGACAGGGACCCCGGGGAGGGGACAGGGGACCCCGGGGAAGGGACAGGGACCCCGGGGAGGGGAGAGGGGACCCCGGGGAAGGGACAGGGGACACCAGGGAGGGGAGAGGGGACCCCGGGGAGGAGAGAACTGAGGGAAAGTTGCATCCTGGTGGCTTTGCTGTCCATCCTGGTGGCTTTGCTGTCCATCCTGGGTGGCTTTGTCATCGTCCCGGTGGCTTTGTCGTCACCCCGAGTGGCGTTGCCACGGTTTGGGGCGAGGCTGGCATCGCTCTGGGTGGCTTTGCCATCACCCCGGGTGGCTTTGCCATTGTCCTGCTGCTCTGCCAATTGCCCGGAGTGACACTGCCATTGTCCTCAGAGACTTTGTCACCATCTTGAGTGCCTTTGCCACACTCCCGGTGGCTTTGTCATTGTCCTCGTGCCTTTGCCATCCTCCCGGGTGGCTTTGCCATCACCACGAGCGGCCGGGACGCTGTCCCCTGGGAGCAGCTTCCTTTTGGGGACCGATGGCGGGGAGGGAGGGTGGCAGTGCCACTGTCGCTGTCCCCACGGCAGGAGGACGCGCGGAGGCTCCCGGCGCCCCGGGCCGGGCCCCGCTCCCGGTGCTGGTCCCGCTTCAAATCCGCGTCCCTCGGTGTCATCGCCAGCGTCCCCGGTGAGGACGGTGAGTGTCCCCCCCGGGGGGGACCCTGGTGTCCCCTGGGCGCTGTCCCTGCTGTCACCTCTCCGCTAACGACCCAAAATCGATGGCGCTGCCACCGCGGTTAATTACCGCCCCCCCTCCCGCCGCCCCCGGCGGCTCCTCCGGACCCTTTTAAAATTCCTTTTCCCTTTTTTTTTTTTTTCCAGCGGCCGAAATTCCCCCGTTCGCCTCCCAGCAGAGCCTGCTCGGCGGGTGAGTCCCCTCGCTGTCCCCTCGCTGTCCCCCGCGCTGTCCTGTCCCCTCCCCGCGCCTGTCACAGCCCATTGCCGTCCTCATTAGGGCGGCTGCTCCCGGGAATCGTCACACCGGGGGCTGGCCGGGAGCCCCGCGGGGACAGGGATGGGGACAGGGCTGGGGACAGGGATGGGGACAGGGACGGGGACGGGGATGGGGACAGGGATGGGGACAGGGACGGGGACAGGGCTGGGGACAGGGCTGGGGACAGGGATGGGGACAGGGATAGGGACAGGGATGGGGACAGGGATGGGGACAGGGATGGGGACACGCTGCCCTGAACGGCCGCGCCACCAAGGACCAGAGGGCATTTTGTCACCCCCTCGAGGGTGGTTGAACTCCGAGGGTGGCTTGTCCCCCGCCCCAAACTGGGATTTGTCCCCCCCAAAAGAGAATTTGTCCTCCCCAATGGGGATTTGCCCCCTCCAAGAGGAATTTGTCCCCCCCAGTGGGGATTTGTCCCCTTCAGAGAGAATTTGTCCCCTCCAAGGGGGGGTTTGTCCCCTTCCAAGGGTGGCTTTTGTCCCCTTCCGAGGATGTCCCCAAGGAACCAAGACCACCCAGGACACCTCGGGGTTGCCCCCCCACACCCGGGGGGCAGAGACACGGGGGGACCCCCGGGAGGGGACAGAGGGGCTGGGAGGGGACAGAGGGGCTGGGAGGGGACAGAGGGGGCTCTGTGGTGGCCCGGCTGGCGGCGGGGAGGGGACACGGACGCTCCTCCCCGTTCCCGGCGGGGACAGAGCGGGATTGTCCGGCGGGATCCTCCTCCCGCAGCGCCGGGAGCCGCGAGCGGCTGGCGGGGGAGGCGGGGACCCCCCCGGGCCGGGAAGGGACCCCCCTGGACAGGACCCTCAGCTTCATCCGCAGGATGACCGGCAAGACAAAGGTACGGGAAAAACGGGAGCGGGGAGGGAGCGGCTGCGCGGGCGCGGCGGGACAACGGAACAACGGGAGAACGGGAATAACGGGACAACGGAACAACGGGAGAACGGAACAACGGGAGACGGGAATAACGGGAGAACGGGAGAACGGAACAACGGGAGAACGGGAGAACGGGATAATGGGAATAACGGGAGAACGGGAATAACAGAACAACGGGAGAATGGAACAACGGGAATAACGGGGAGAACGGGAGAACGGAACAACGGGAGAACGAGAACAACGGGATAACGGGAATAACAGAATAACGGGAGAACGGGAGAATGGGAACAACGGGAGAACGGGATAGCGGGACAACAGAACAACGGGAGAACCGGATAACAGGAAAAAGGGGAGAACGGAAAAACGGGATAAAGGGAACAACGGGATAACCGGACAACAGAACAACGGGAGAAACGGAAAAACGGGAGAACGGGAGAACGGGATGGGTTCAGGGACGCTCTGCCGTGCCTCAGTTTCCCGGCTCCGCCGCTCGCTCTTTGGCAGATTTTGGGATGTAAAAGAAAGGAAAACGCGGGCTGCGCTCAGGGAAGGGATCCCGAGCGGATCCTGCCCCCTCCCCCCCCGCCCATCCCGGCCTCTCCCGCGGCCATCCCTTCCTCGGGAATGTTTTCCTCCTGCCCCTCCCCCTGCCGTGCCTCAGTTTCCCCTCTCCCGCCTGTTCCTGAGGCGCTTTGGTGACTCGTGGGGGGATCCCCCCCTTTCCACACCTCCGTTTCGGGTGGGGAAACTGAGGCACGAGGGCACAGAGCAGGCGGCGGTGGCTTTGTCCCCCAGCCCGGTTTTGGGTGGGGGGTGACAAACCCGGCTGGGACCCCCCCCGGGCGGCCCCGATTTGCCGCCATGCGGAGCCGTTAATCCCTGCCCTCCTCCTCCTCCTCCTCCTCCTCTTCCCGCCGGATCAGCCGCCAGCTGTTCCCATCTGGGGGGGCCCCGCGCCCCCTCCCCGGCTCCAAATCCCGCCTGGAGCCGCCGCGGGATCCGGAACCGCCCGGCGGGACGGCTCCAGCCGCGCAGCGGGGCCGAGCTCCGGCCTTCCTCGGGATGTTTATTCCCATTATTTCATGATTTGTTTGGGATTTCGGAGGGAAAAGGCGCCTGGAAGTCGGGGTGAGCTGGGGAGGGGGCTCCGGCTCCGTGCCGGGATGGGGATGGGGGCGGCGAGGGGGTCGGTCCCGGCTGGAACAGCGGGATATCAGGAAAAATCTTCCCAAAACGGAGAAAAAAAATAATAATTCTGCACGGGGGGGGGGCTCCTTTGGGGTGGGAACGGCCCCTCCCGGGGTCCGGGGGGGCTGCAGAGCCCCCAGACCCGCTCCCGGTGAGTGCTGGGGTGACTCCGGGGGTCTCCTA